TTTGTTTCCAGGCTTAGAAAGTTGTCATTTTAATAGACCCTTCTCTTGCCATTCTTTTTTGCATTGAGCATTTGTCAATAATCCTCCAACAGCGGCAGCTTTGTTATCCCAACTAATTGGAGTCAAGTAGGGCCAAGAGAAGAGATCGTTCCCGACCGAGCCCTGGGAAAAAAGCAAAGGGATTTTAATTTTCAATAAACTATGCAGATAAGGAGAAATGAGCAGTGGGGAAGGGGGTCTGGAGGCTGCCTGGATAATGGTGCTGCTCAGACAATAGCAGCTTGAGTTGGCTTAAGGGGACTCGAGTGGGTAGCTGGCAATGCAGCAGCTAATTGGGATGGGGGTACATGGATCTGCCCCCCCACACCTGCACTGTTGAGGATGTTAATGGGTGTTTCTTGGGTGCATGGAGGTGAGTGAGGTGTTTATGTGAGCCTTTGTGCCCCGCTGCAGCTGCTGGGGAAATATTTCAGGTCACACTTTGTTATTTTCATATATAAATGAGGGAAATTGGGGCATCTCTTCACAGTGGGGATGGGATCACTGTGGGATGAAGGAGTGGACCCAGGCTCTCTCTGCCTGCCACTGTCCCAGCCTGAGCCCTGCAGTGACCACTGGCTGCTGTGGATGTGGGTGCATCCCTGGGGGACAGGGGTGCCCCATCCCTGGCAGTGTTCAAGGCCAGGTTGGACAGGGCTTGAAGCAGCCTGTTCTAGTGGAAGGTTTCCCTGCCCCTGGCAGGGGGATGAGCTTTTTGGTCCCTCCCAACCCCAGTCATTTTGTGGCTCTGTGATTCCGGCCAGGGCAGGCACAAGTGTTCTGCCACGCTCCCCTGCTCATTGCTGTGTTTTGACCCCAATGGTGGCAGATGGTCTCTTCAGCTGGTGCAGCCTCCAGGGAGGAACCAGACAGTTGGGAGGAGAAACAGAAATCCCTCCAGCTTCAGTGGATGCACAGAGGCTTGGCTGGATTTGCCTCTCCTGGTCCTGCTGCTGGATGCACTGGGAGCGAGGGCAGTTGCGTGGAAGGATGCAGTTTGCAAAGGGGTTTTCAGAGTGATGGCATAAAATATTTCCCTGCTGCACTGTAGCCATTACACTGGAATTCACTCAGGGCTGGAGGTGGGATCCAGCCTATTCCCAGCTCCATCAGCAGGGGACCAGGGGCTGGAGGGGACCATGATCCAGGCTGCCCAGGGCAGTGCTGGAGTCACTCCCTGCAAGTGTTCACACACTGAGTAGACGAGGCCTCAGTGCCATGGGTTAGTGGTGGCATTGGCAGTGCTGGGGTAAAGGTTGGACTTGATGAGCTTAAAGGGCTTTCCCAGCCTGGTTGATTCCATGGTTCCAGGCAGGGACCGGGTGTCAGCACAGGGCAGACACCCCGTGTGCTGCTCTCAGGGTGTCAGTGCCAGCTCCACAGAACCAGCACCCTGCAGAACAGCTCGCTCCTGCCTTTCCCAGCCCCTTTTAAGAGGACTCTGCACAACCAGAGCCTCCCCTCAGCCGTGCCCCATCCCACCGCCATGGGCTCAGAGGAGAGGGAGCCGTCGGAAGCTGCGGGATGCTTCTGAGGGCAGGATGGAGCCGGCCCCCAGGCCAGCCCCTTCCAGAGATAAGAGCCCCATGGGGAGGGGACAGCTGAGCTGTCACCTGTTGGGGCTCAGACACTGCAGCTGTGCCCAGGCTGCTTTGAACCCACTGGATTAGGCAGAGGAGAGTGCCCCACATGCACTTGTGCTCCGCATGCCAATGCCTTCCTCCTCCTCCCCATGCTCCGCTGGCCATGCAGCCACAGCCTCCCCAGCCCAGTGTCTCCATTCAGCATCTTCCACACCAGCTTCTCACTCCTCAGTGCTGTCCTGGGACAGCCCCAGGGGTGGCCAAGACCCCTTTGGGTGCTGGGGTTGGAGCCCCATGAGCTGGTGCCTGCTGTCCCTGGGTGGGAGCAGCGGGGATCTGCTCTTGGATGGACCGGGTGCAGCGGTGGTGGAGGAGGGAGGAGGTGAGGGTGAAAGCATCTTCAGTGTTTGGGACACTCTGTTCAGATTTGCTGAGTTTTATTCTCCTTACCCAAAACAGGTAAAATTGGGATTCCCAGAGAAAAATAACCAACAATATTTTCAACTCTGGGAGAGCAGAATCTGGACGTGGACACAGCCCAATGCCCAACTGCACAGTGCTTTTCCACTCATGTTCCCTCCTTCCCACCACTGCCCTCCCAGGAGGTGAGCTGCAGTGGTGGGACTGCCTTAGCAGGTGAGTGACAACCCCAGGTCTGCAAATGTCCCCTGTGTGAGGTGATTGGGGTGGGTTCCTCTTCTGTTGCTTCCAGTTGGGGTGCATTGAGTCCCCCAGTTTGGGTTCCGAAATTCAAACCCATGGAGACAGACAGGCCTGTTCCATGGTTTGCCAACAGCACCCAAACTGTCCCCATGCCCTCACCGAGCTCAGCAGCACGGCAGGACCAAGGTTTGGTCCGTGGGGGTGTGTTTCTTGGAGTGCAGGATTTACCCTGGGCTTTAAAAGCAGAGAGGGAACGGTTTGGGTCTGTTTGGGGGGGGTTAAAGCTTTCTTCCCAGCACTGTACTTTTTAAATCACCCAGTTCCACTGTCTGTTCCCCACGCTCATGCTTTTGGTCTATTTAAGAGCAAAAGTGTAACATTAAGGTGATTTATAGCAATCTCTGGAGTGGGAGGGCAGGGACTTGGCTGTTTTTCCCCTTTTCCTCAGGTGAAAGCAAACCTCGAATGTTAACTCAGGAGACATTACACCGCCCGCCCCGTCACTCCTTGATTTACAGGCTCCAATTTACGACTTAAACATTATTATTCCACTCACATAGATTTGTTCCCTTGGCCGTTTTAGTGCTTGTGAAAGGTGAGGGGTTTGACAGCTCCTGGAAACAAAAGCCTTTAATATCTCCCCGAGCGAGGCTCTCCCAGGCAAGAAGAGAGATGCCAGCAGGGCTTTTTCCTCCCTGCTCCAGATATTACTCACTGCAGGCCCATCTTAAGCAAACAGAGCAGAAAGTTTGCTTGAGATAAGCCAGGACTAATTAGCAAAGTCCGTTCTTGGTGCCTGGAGAATCCCTTGGGATTATCCTCCGTGGAATGCGAGGCTGGGTGTAGAGGATGCCCATCGCCCTCCTGCCATTTTCAGACCTTCCCAAATCCTTTTGGACACCTTTAGGCTTCTCGGTGGGGACATGGGGGGACTTGGACTGTGCTCTGTGTGGCATTGGGATTATTTTTAATCCCTGTGGTGAAGTATCTCCCCCCTTTCTCCACACCCCCCCTCCCTAAATGACACCAGCGTTTCGGGCCTAAACTAAACTGGCAGCATGTCTTTAAAATATGACATGCATGAAATACCAGGGAGCAAGAAATCTCCTCTTTAAAGCATACGTCGCGCAGTGGCTTGGAGAGCCGGGGGATTAAAACCTTCGTGGAGCTTGGGAAACGATGCCAGAGCCCCTGCTGCACTTCATTAAAGCACATTTTTGACGCAGCTTGCCTTATTCAATAACAATTTAGCTGACCAAGAACTGAATGCAAAGGGACAGGCAGCAGTGCAGCGGGCTCCTGCCTTTGCCTTTCCAGCATTTTTTCACCCCAATTTGCCATCTGCTGCCCAGTGGCTGGAAGGGGACCTGGGTTGTGCGTGACCCCCCTCCCAAAATGAGGTGGTGTTGGACTCAGGCTGGGCTGAATGCTGAGGCTCCCCCTCTATCTCCCCATCAGCTTCTCTGCTCAATCCACAGCCAAAGAAGCCCCCAAAAGGAGTCTTAAAGTCCTAAAAGCTTGCTCTGATCATGCTTGGATGGGGTGAGCATTTGAGTTTCCCTCCATCCCTACCTTTTGGGATGTAATGCTGATGCCCATGGTCATGGCAAAGCCCAAACAGCTTCAAAGCAGGAGTCCACAGGGTGGATAAGGCTTTGGCACCATGATCGGCATTGGTGATGCAGGGGTGGCTTCTGGTTTTGTTGGCCATGGAAAGGAAATGCGTATTTTTAGGTGGTTTGAATGGCAAAGTGAAAGGAAGACATTCCCATTTTGAGGAAAAATGGTGTTTTTCTGTTGGAAAACGTGCTTATAAGGGAAAGGAGCAAGAATGACTTGGTCTGCCTCTTCCCCCTGGAGGGACTGCAGATGGTCCTGTCGTAAATCTGTCACTAAGGTCATTTCATGGAGCAGGAACCCCACAGTCCAGGAATGATGTTACGGACACGGAAAGCTCCAGCAGCTCTGGATATACTTGTGTTTGGTATTTCCAAACCCCTTGAAGGCAGTATTCCACATTATGGGAAGTTCACTGGGAGAAAGGAGCCAATTTCAGCCTGGAAGGGCATGGAACAGCCGCTCAGATGGTATCTAATTGTTTTCATCCCCTTCCTCCACCAGCTCCTAAAGTCGAGGGGATTTTTCTTCCCACAAATTGGCTCAAAAAGGAAAAGAATTGATCCCAGGTTGGGATTTTTGTATTTTAAGTATTTGGGGTGTGTTTCTCTTTAGCACAGAGGGAACGTTGCAGCCGAGGGCCTGGCTCTATTTAAGATTCCCAAGTGTTTTAAAGGCGGCATGACCGGGCAGGGTGGCAGGAGGCACCATGCAGCGTAGGGACAAGGTTTTGGGGAGCATTCCCAGTGCTTCTCATTTGCCTGAATCCATATGGGGCTAACCTGCCTTAGGGTGCATGCTTTTTTTGGGTGTAGAGGCCCTTCTGTGTCCCTAGTCCATGGGTAGAGCAGGTGCCCCACTCTGTGCACCCACTTCCTTCAAGGTGGATACAGGGAATTCAAGGGAGAGCAAGCACCAAGGGCTATTAAACACAAGAGAGGTCTTCTTCAGCTTTGGGTATCTCTGACCATGTCTGTTCCCTCCTGGTGCTCCAGTAGTATCCATCCACTGAGTACCGGATGCTGGGCTAGAGGGATGGTTGGGATCCATCCAAGTCCTTACATCCTCCTTCACCTACCCACCCCATGCACCACATCTCTTGGCCGTAGCCCTCCTTATGCCAGGGAAGCTGAGGAGCAGGACAGAGCTATGGAGTCACACAAAGACAAGATGATGCTCCTGAGGTCAAGCAAGAGGAGGAGAGGTCCCAGAGGAGCCAAGCAGCCCGGTCCAAATATGGATCCACCACATAGGTCTCCTGCAGGAGCAGCCAGTCAGTGTTCCCACAATGGTGTCACGCTTCCCTGAATAACCAAGGCGTTCATACAAACAAAACAAAGAAACCTTCGGTCTCTCTGGAGACAGGTCCCAAACAGAGAGCCCGGCCAGGCCAGCGATGGGGCTGGATGCAGTGAATCACTGCAACCAGCTGGAGTTGAAGCAATTTGGGTCAAATATTCACCCTGGCGTCACGCCACCGACTGCTCCTGCGTTCCACTTGCGGTACCTCAGCTCAGGGGTTGCTTTGCTGCTGCTTTTAGTTATTGGTAAAGTCTTTGGGGTTGGAGGTGGGTACCTGCTTATGGACGTCCCAAGGGATGTGCTGTGTTGGGTTTATTCCTCTTTGTTATTATGTCAGTTTTATTCCCAGCTAATTCTTATTGCAGCTGAACACGAAGGACTGCAAGAATAGTATTAGCAAAGAACTTTACTGAGCTATTAATGTTCCCCGTGGGTGCAGAGTGGAGTTAGACACTCAGCAAGTGTATAAACAGCTCCATAAAACATGCCTGGGATATCCCAGTGCTGAGGGGCTGTGGGGAGACTGGTCCACCTCCGTGCACCAGTGAGGGCTCAGTGCAGATTCAGCTTAGCAAGGCTGGGCCCTAGGGACCTTCCTCCAGGATTACATCAGTAGCATGAGGATGCTGAGTGTACTGTCTGGGAATCCAGAAGATGAGGGGTTTTTTACTTGGAGATTATGTACGTGACAAAATATGTTCTTCTGACTCTTGGGCTGCCTGCAACAAGGGATGTGCTGCAAAAGTGATGTCGCCTGGTTTTCCAGTACCTGGGAATTGGCAGCTCTGTGGGCTGAGGCAAACACAGGGCTGGGTTCTTCCCATCTCTGCTCCGTTTGGTACCTGGTACCATTGCCAGAGCGGGGAGGTGTGTGTGTCTTCTGCAGAATGGGGACAAAACCACCCTGCTCAGGTTCTCTGGGCTCTGCTGCACCAGGGATACGCCAGGGATCCCATGGCCATGGCAGGGGATGGGATGCAATGGGGATGCTTGGCCAGCATTGCACACGTGGGTACCACTGTGAGGATGCTCTGAACAGGGCTGGCTTTATCCATGTCGTCCATTTCTCCTTAGAGCTGCTCATGCTGTTTGGGTGATGCTTTAAGCAGCTGTGGGATGCAGCTTTGTATGGCAATACACCCTGGTGTTTCCAAGCATTCCTGACAGGGGGTTGTATCCTTAAAGAGAGTGAGGTGGGAGAAGTAGCAGGGGGATGCCCTTAGGAACCCTGCCAAGGTTGTGAGGGCACACAGAGGAGAAGGAAGGCAGAGCAGGACATTGGTAATCAACTGTACATGGGCTCTTGTGTGCAGGAGCAAGAATGGGGCCAGGAGCTTTCCCTGTGGGGGACAAGCTGCTGTGCACAAGTGTTTGCTGGCAGGCTTGGGGGCAGGCAAAGAGGATCCGGTTCCTCAATTGGAGACTAGCTGGAAAATGGAGGTTTGCCCCCAGGCAGCTGGGGATTAGCCCTGGGGATGTGTGGAAGGAGGTGAAACATGGGGCTTCCTTCGGTCAGCATCACAGGGACATAGTTGAGCACCGGCCAACGCATCGCGCAGGCCAGCGCTCCGCAGACAGACTCCACCTCCCGAAACAACCGCATTGCATCGGGCTTGGCAGCGCTGCTCCCACTGGCAGCCCCCTCCAAACAGGCTCAACACTGAGCTCGTGCTGAGGAGCTGGAATAACCTCTTGTCCCAGAGGGCTCCAGAGGAGGGAGCAGGACTCACATCACTTTGGTGTTGGTATTGGGTCTGTCCCGCAGGTGCAGCGTCCTCTGGAGCACCCAAACGGGTAGGAGAAGGGGGATTGAGCTGAGCATCACCCTCACCACTGGGTGCAGAGTTTAAGGAGACTCCAGGTCTCTTAGTGTCTTTCACCACCTTTCTGGATGGAGGAGGGAAACTGGCACAATTCCTTGTCCCCATTTACAACCCAGCTTTGGTGCCTGTCAAGCCCATCCAGGGCTTTTGGCTGCCAGTGAGGGATGCTCAGAGAGCCTGGTTCTTCCAACCAGCATCAATGGCCAGCTGAGTCTGGGGCGTGCTGAGGAGTGAAGCTTCTTTAAAAGGCCAAAAAAAGCTCCCAAAAAGCCCCCAAAATTTCAACATTTCAGCAAGAAACTGGAATTTTAGTGTGGGGAAAAAAAAAACAAACAAATTGAAATATCAGTGGGGATCTTCAGTAAATCATTGAGATCCCGCATCCTCCCCAAGCACAGAGGAGCCTGGAGGTGCTCCAGAACTGCAGTTTTAACCAAAAGAAGCTAAAAGAAACAAACAAAAACCCACACTTGGCTGTGTTTTCATCATCCCCTTCCCCCTCCTGTTTGATCGTCTCTGTCTTGTACAAGCCTGGTCGAGGCAGATAACTGAGGATTCGACCCATCTTTTCAGAGTAGCCCCGAGGAAGAAAGCAGCCTTTGTGAAGGGGTTTCTGAAGTTCTCTGTTCTGGGACGGTTGGAAATAGCACAAAAACATCCTTTCTCACTATATTGTGTCGCTTCCAGCTCTGAGCTCCACCACGACCCAGATGTTTAGATGCTGATGCTGGAAAGGAAAATAAGAGCCATGGCGAGAAAGCCAGGGGAGGGGGATGCTGTGTGAAACTTGCTTCTAGAAACTGCGCTGGTTCGGGTACAGCATCTCTCTTTGCAAAGCAGGGAAGAGAACTGGAGAAGGAGACTCGGATATTATGGATTAATATCTTAATTTAGTTGGTTTAGCAATGACTTAGCCCAGCTGCACATCTCCATATGGGCAACCATATAGTTCAGCTTTAAGACAGTATGTATGTTCAGCCTCAAATGCATGCAGGGTTTGGTACTACTAAGCATCTTTTCCTGCCTTTTGATCCGATTCTCCCTGTTTCGCTGCATTTCTCCCCAGCTTTCCCAACTTCAGGACAATGATTGGTGTGAGTTCATCGGTCTGCTTTTAAAATTATCTCTATTCAGGAGGAGGAGAGACCTCCTTAGGCGGACGTGTGGGATAACTCTGTCATTACCTAATTGATTGGACAAGGAAAGTTAAGTGTGAAACTCTTCTTTATTGTCCGTATCCTCTGTCTGTCTCAGCAAGAACACCTCCCAGTGTCTGCTCCGTGGTCCCTCTGTAATAGTTCTGCCTCAGCAAGCACTGCTCCAGATGTCCAGGCTTGCTAATCCAGCCCTTCTAGAGGGGTCTCAGCTGGAGCGCAGCAAAGTCCACACTGATGTGGGAAGGGGGTGACCCACACCTCTCCCAGCCCAGCACTGGTGTCCATCCAGCTACCGGGACATGTGTCCAGCTGGATTTTACATTGGAGAAAAGGGACTGAGTGCACCCAGATGTTGACGGCAAGGGGGAAGCTGCAGCATCACTGTCCCCTTGCCCTGCAGTGCTGGGCAGAGGGGCATTAGTGGGGGTCACGGCACCATCTCCCACCCATCCTGAACCCGCCTCTGCCAGAGCACAGGTTGTCCTGGCCAAACATCGGAGCAGGAGGTGGGAGCTGACTCCAGAGGAGCGAGACGAGCTGCTCCGGCACTGACTTTTCAGAGCCTGAGCCCTGGCTCTCACCACGCTCCTGGCTATGGGCTCATCCTGGCTGCGGAGGGGAGAGGGGATGCTTCCATCCTGCGCTCTCCTGCCTATCCGAGGGGTTAGGGTTTTACAAACAAAGCCTGCAGAGGTTTTGCTGCTGGAGCGACGAGGCTGATTCACCGTCTGCAGAGGCAGGCGGCCACGGAGCAGCAAAACATATGGGCTGCAGGGTGGGAGGAGGAGCTGCATTCCCTGCTCACCCACAGACCCCGGGAATAGGGCATACGTGTGGGATGACCTGCACGGGGAGCCTGCACATCCCTGCCCTGTGGTCAGCCTTTGGCTCAGAGCTTGTCCGTGGTGCACGAGTGGTGGTTATTGCTTTGGATGGGTTGTGGGTCAGTCCTGCTTCCCAGCTCCTCCACAAGCTGCTTATGGTGGAGACTTAGATATCCCGGAGAGGACACCCCACCACCACCACCATGGGCTTGCGCGGGGCTGCACTTCTGCTTGTGTCTGCTGCAGGTCACAGTCCCAGAGGGGTGATCATGGACCCGCATCCCCGCTCCCACCCTCCCTTTATCCCTGCTCGTGCCTAATTCAATTTGCCTCTCCCCGAACAGTTCCCCATAGCTTGCCCATTAACAAATGGACTTGGCTGGAGGCCTGGCTGACCATTTGCACGCTACCCCTGCCAGCCGGGCACCCGCGAGCCGCGCCGGCGCTGCCAGCATCCCGCATCCCGCTATCGGCACACAGCCGAGCGCTGCCAAATCCCAGCGGCGCTGGTGCCAGCTCGGAGAGAAAGGGGTGAGGGAGCTGCACACAAAGAGTGGTTTATAGCCCAACCGGGCACCTGACACGGGGAGGAGGGAGGGCTGGGACGTGCTCAGCTCTGCTAATCCCCAGTTTGAGTTTAATGTTTTTTCTCTATATTTTAATCAAAAGCACAGCAACAGCTGGGGCTGAGGCTTTCCAGGAGATGAACTCATGAACAACTGTTCAAAATAACTTTATTCGTGCTGCTATTAGATCAGTCCACTGGGGAGTAACCAATTCTTTTGCATTACTCAAGGCAGATAAGGGCTGGGGCAGAGCCGAAAACCGCGTGCCGCAAGGGATAAAGGGCATCTCGTGGCTCGGGCATGTTGTCTGGGCTGCTCCATGCACCCAATGGGAGCCCCCAGCACCCATCCAAGCTGCCTGCATGGTGCAGAGGGATCATGCTGGGGGAAGCAGAGCAGGTTGGGGGTGATTGCATAGGGATGTGCAGGTGTGCAGGCACTCGTGTGCTGTGGGCAGGCTATTTGCAGGCAGCTCCGTGCCATTCATGCCTAAAAGCCAATTAACAGTGATGCTGCAGAGCTAATTTGTCTGTCTGAGGTTGGTCTGCCCAGCTTGTGCTGGCCACAGCATCAGCACAGGGGAACATGAAGGGTTCGTGGAGCAGGACAGGTCGTTCGCCCTGTTCCCATCCCACACATCAGTCTTCAAGCACCTTCAGCTGAGGAACGTTCCTGCTTTCCAGCATGACATCAAGCGAACCTGAGTGTGGGATCTGTTAGCCAGCAGGATAATGTCCCGAGGGAAAGAAAGGTGGAAGCTAAACCACTAAAAACTGGGCTGCGGGGAACAGGCTGCACTGGCCAGGAGACAGACTGCATGATCTAATAGGTCTTTTCCATTCCTCGCTCCTGTGACTCAAGAAGTCTTGTCACTGGGGATGTGTTAAAAATAGGCTGGATGAAACAGGAGACGGTGGATGTAGGGATCAGTCCTGCCTTGGCTGGGAGGCAGGTTGGTCTAACAGGACTTTTCCATCACGTTGTTCCATGATTAACTGAGACAAGAAAAGAAGAAAGGAAATTGATAAACACAATAGCAGTTCCATCCAGGGCTTTGCCTTAGTCAGGTTATTAGAGCCCTGACATCATGTCTTGAAAAGAAGACTGGAAAGAAAGCTCTAGCAGATAATATCTGCTCGCTGGGGATGGAGGGGGGCACCCATCCTCTTTGGTGGTCCCCTCCCCATAAAGCTGTTTCTCCTGTTTCTGCAGGGTCTCAAACAGGAGCACGTAGCTTCCAAGGACACCTCACACCTTCTTCCTCAGCCCTTCCTGCTGAAATCACACCCCTCCAGAAACACAGCATCTTCCGAAGGCATCAAGCTGTGTTGAGGAGTTTAATTCCTGCTAGGTCACTTCATCAGAACAAACCCTGGGGAGTTTGGGTTTGGCTTCAGCTTGGGGGGTGCAGTCTCCGCACAGCCATGGTCTCCCAATGGATGCTCCACATTGGATCAGGTCCTCACCCACACTTTGAGCTCTTCTGGGAGAGCTGGGATTCAGAGCAGCCTGAGCTACAGCTGTTCCCAACGGCCCCACACTCCAGAGGTGCAGCTCAGGTAAGACAGGATGTCTACATGATGTAAATCAGGATTTTCTCTGTCCCTTTGGCATGTATGGCCACTGTTGTGGAACGGTATGAAAGGCAGCAGTGAGGTCACTCAGAAACATCTCCCGGCCTATAGACTCCTCTCCAGCCCTCACCAACAGTGCCAGGAGCTCGGAAGTCACTGGTTTGGAGAAGCAACTGGAATATTCTCCTTGTTTTTCCTCTAAATGGTCTCCACGAATGGAAGGTCTCAGTCTGGAACCGATTTGACTCCAGTCACTAGAGCTGCTGCTACTGGGGATTTTGTAGGAGTCCACAAGGCCTTTAATCTCTTCCTCTACAAATAGGTGTGATGTAAAACCCAAATCCTGACCACCTCGTGGTTAGGAGCCTTGTGGCACTTCCAGCCTTGGGCTCCTGGCCCAACTCCAGCTGGGGAATTTGTGTTCTGTCTCTGCATGCATGGAAATCGGAGCTGCTCCCGTCCCGTCTGGCTGCTCCCTGGAACAGCCAGCCCCAGGGAAGGATGCATTGCAGGGGCAGGATTTGCTTCTTTGTTCATTTAGTTTCTTTAACATGATGTTTTTTGCCTATACAGCCCCTGTGCTGCCTTCCTCCCCTCCCAGGGCTGCTCCTTGTCGCTCACATCCAAAATCCCAAACAAAATCCCATCTATAAAGGAGAAATCCAGAGGAAGGCACACAGCTCTGCTGCACCCTCCAAAGGTCTGACCATCTCCAGCCCAGGAAGCAACCTGGTTACATCCAGACCTGGCGCAAGGCTGAGTGTTTCTGGGTTGAAATGTGTTAAAAAAGCTATTGCAGTATTCAGAGAGCAAAGGTTTGACCGTTGCACCCAGGAAGTTCTCACCATCCCTCTGCAGCCTGAGAAGGAGGGATAGATACTATAGATAGATGTTAGACAGCAAAGGTTGTGATGCAGATGAGATGTGCCTGGAGAAGCTGTGGCTGCCCCATCCCTGGCAGTGTTCAAGGCCAGGTTGGACACAGGGGCTTGGAGCAAGCTGCTCTAGTGGAAGGGATCCCTGCCTGTGGCAGGGGTTGGAGCTGGAGGAGCTTTAAAGTCCCTTCAACCCAAACCACTCTATGATTTTTCCTGTATTCTCTGTGGGCTATCAGGGCATCTTTACAAATCCTCCACATCCCCCCTGTCACGATATGCAGGCGACAGTGCCCTCTAGTGCACCATGACACCACCCCCCACCCCCCCGCCCTATCCCCCAACCCCTTTAGCACCACGAAATCAGCATCTCAATAGGTAGGACCATGTCCATGGCATCCCCAAGCCCCCCTTCCTGCTGTCTAGGGGTTCCTTCATTTGAAATCAGTAAGGCTCCTCAGCAGCCCATTGAATTTCTTGTTTCTGATGGGACCGTGGTGCTTCTGCCCAGCTGAAGTGTCCCAGCCCCAGGAATGGGCTCTCATGTGTTGGGGCTGCACTGAGGTGCAGGTGGGTGTTGCAGAGCAGCCTGGCACCGCAGGCTTCTGACCCTTTGGTGTTCCTGTCCCCTGTTCCCATACAAAGGTGACTCTGGCACGCTCACAGGTTATGTGATCCCGAGGGATCAGCTTCTTAAAATAATTTAGGTTTATGGTTGGACTCGATGACCTTAAACCATCATTTTGGGTGGTGCCTGGAGATGTCAGGACTGTCGGTCTCAGGTGTTATCCCTGCTGGCTGCTCCTGCAGGAAATGTTCATCTTCCCATTGCTGATGGCTTTTTTAGCATCAAAGAACAGTTTGGGTTGGAAGGGGACTTCAAAGCTCATGCAGTCCAGCCCCCCTGCAGTGAGCAGGGACATCTTCAACTAGATCAGGTGGCCCCAAACCACATCGAGCCTGGCCTCAAATGTCTCCAGGGTTGGATTTTTCCTCATTCTTATGCTTGCAGCTTCCTCAGAGGACAAGGAGGATAAGGTCTGTGGCAAACTGGATCCTGCACATTATGGAGCAAGTCATAAACCCCCCTTCTCCAGACTCAGGCACTGTGTGATGCTCCATTACCTGCCCTCACCTTCCATCTCTCCACACTTCTGGCTCCTAGGACACCAGCCCGGTGAGTTGTGAGCATCCCTGGATGATGCTTCACCTATATGTTAATTACAAGCATCTTGTAATTAACACTACTTGTCTTGCTTCTCTTCTCTAGCTCAAAATCTTGCCTAGGGATGAGAGAGGACATGGCTGGATGTCCACTGTGCACCCACTGCCACCCCAGCCTGTGCTGTCCCACTCACCATGGGCCTTTCACATCCACCTCAGCCAAGCATTGTATTCTGCTGAGGAGAAGTCTGTGTTTCCTGCCTGTTAAAGCAGTGTGGAAGTGAGGACTGAACTCCCAGCATGATGAAAAAGAGCATCCCTCTGCTCTCCTACCTGGGAATGACGAGGAGGTCTCCAGCAGGGGTGGGGATGGAGCTGTTTGGTAACACCAGCACACGGGGAGGGCTGTTGGCGTTCACAGCTCTCGGTGCTCTTTAACCACGCACACGTTTGTTTTCCTTGGCTCTGACAGGGAAATGTGCTCCTCGAGGACTTTTCATTAAGCAAAGTATTTATGAGAGAGGATGAAAATGGTGTTTTACTGTCCGAGGTCTCCGTCAGGGCCGTTTCTTCAGAGCTTTTACTCATTCATCTTGGCAAGGGCTCAGAAAAAACCTCTCCACTGAAACAAAAAGCTGAACACCCACATTCGGAGCCGGTTGCATCGGCCGGTTCCGTCGCCGGCATGGAGCAATGCCCAGAGTAACGACCCGATCCCCCGGGATTCAAAACAAAGGCGAAACACCTCCCAGTTTGTGTCCAGTGAAAAATAACGTGTCCATGACGTAAAGCGTTGCTGGGATTTGATGCTAATTTTAGTGGTCACCTTGGCTGCGGTCAAGGAAGTTGCCGGCGCTGCCAAGAGCAAATTTACCTGATGATGAATGAGGAATCGGAGGATTAAATAAATAACTATCAGCAACACCTTCTTTTTCCCCTTCTTTTTTGGCAGGTCGGTGTCATCCAAGGTCACACATTTGTGCAGGGGAACAACTGCCAGAGCTCAGTGCTTTCAAATCATCTTTAAGTACAGAGCAGCATCTTGAAGCTCTGGATTTAATATGCAAGACTAAAGCAGAGTCTTCCAAGAGTTCTTGCCCATCGGTTACGCTTCCATGTCGGCATTTCTCCCCTCTTTGTGCTTGGAAGAAGGTTTCAGTGAACGTCTGCAAGCATTCCTTGTTTTCCTACTCAAAATCAGTGCTAAAAAATCCCATCCTGGGTACCGACCACTCGGTATTTTGCCTTTTTCATGGAAAGCTTGGGAAGTTGTGCTCCGAGATGGAGAAAACAGAGGATTTTTTTGACAAAACACAACAAATCCCAACCAGCAGCAAACCCTTTTGTTTCCATCGGTTTTCGGAGCATGGGAAGGGTTCCTGCCCTGCTCTCAGCACAGACTGGAGCCAGACTCTGCTCCAGGGGAGGCAGAAACTCCCTGTGGAGAAGCTCATCCCAGCACTGCCCTGGGCACGGGGTTGTCTCTGCTTCCCTCTGAAGTGCACTGGCCACCATCACAGGATGGATACGGGACCATGAGCCTGGGGGAATGCAGCCATTCCCACCTCTTTATGATTTCATTACTCCAGGCAGGAGTTTATTAGGAATGAGTGTTTTCAGGCTCATGGCAGCACAGGGAGGGACAGGAAGCAGAGCATCGGGATGTGCCTTTCTCTATGTGCTTCTCAGAAAAATGGCATGAACCCTCCACAGGTTAATGGATCTGGAGGAAAAAGGGATCACTGCTCCAAAGACAGCAAGTGGAACTACCTGCCTGTCCAAGCTGCTGCTAATTGTTGAAAGCATTTTATTAAGCAAAGCAGCAAAAAAAGCAGGAACAGGAAGTTCTGTTGGTAAATAAAACACAAGTTTTATTTGATGTGATACAGTTCTGCACTTTTGGAGGTGGCATTGAAGGATTCTGGGGTTATTTTATGTTCCATTTCACCCGCAGAAAAAGAGGATGGTGAAAGATGTGTGAGGTTACAGAAACAGCTCAACTACAAAGGGAGGTAGACAGAAAATGTGTGTCAGGTGAAGCGGGAGAGATGGGGCACGGCTGAATTATAGCAATTCTCAGAGAAATGATGAATGGAAGCTGTAATTCTGATTGGGAAAAGGGGCAGATCATGGGTGAGGGAATAAAATCATCAGAAAAGCATAAATCAGAAATGTGGCTGATGGTTCGGAGCAGAAATCATTTGGGTTATATATAATGTGAATGTCTTCTGGAACATGATCCGGTGCACTGCATAAAGATCTTCTCTTCAGTCATGTTAAGGGGAACTTTCTCTATCACAGCTCCATTGACTGATGCCCTGAGAAGAATCCTGGCATCCCAAGGATGATTCTTCCCTCCATCCCCAGGCCGAGGCCACATTGTCCACAGGAGCTAATGGGAGCCTGGTGGAGATTCCCCCTGGATGAGCCAGCGGCTGGTTTCCCATGGGTAAGAGCTGGTGATGGGCAGGAGGCTCCTGCCTGCATCTCAGCAGGGATAGGGACTTCCCTATGTGTCTGCCAGCAAAAGCAGCCCCAGGAAGACAGGAATGGGAGATGAGGGAAAAGATTTTGCCAGCAGGTAAATGTTAGCACTATGTTTGTAAGCCTCACCCTTCCCCTTCCCCCAAAATAGGGAAATCAGGAAGAATCCTAGGCCAGACTGTGGGTTTATTATGGGCAGTGTCCCGTCCCCCACCTCTGTGCCCAGACTGGAGCCCCATGTCCCAGCCAGGTCCCAGATCTCCATGGTTGTGTCAAGCCCCTTGGCCACAATGGCTTGGGCAGAACATCCCTTATTCCTTGCTCTGCATTTCAAAAAGATGAGCGTCCCTGGAGGATTTTCTGGCATTTATGGAATGACTCCAGTTTGTGTGAGCAAAGAAAAGGAGTGGAAATGAACTGAGCATCTTTCCATGACCCGTCTCCACCACCACATGTTTCTCAAAGAGCAGCAGACTCGCAGCACCCCACATGTACCACGTCTTGTCCTGACAGCCAAGTTTGTCTCTAAACCTGCCTGGTTCCTTTGGGTTGGAGTCCATCTACCGATGCCTTTTTAAATGCCTCCAGGAGCCAAATTTCCCTTGCAATTGTCCTTTGGATTAGTTGGGAAAATTGCATAAGCCCTGAGTTAGAGCTGGCTGCGCCTCTCATCCGAGTGCCTAAGGCTTCATGGGGCAAAGCCTAAAGAGCTGTGAAATGCAGAGATATAACAGATGTTGACATGCAGTGAAAATACTCAGGGCAGGAGCCTAAGATAATAAATCTGAAAAATTAACACGTAGGAGAAGGCAAAAAGGAGCAATATGTTTTGGTAATCATTCTGAACTGCTGACCCCTCCTCCTGCAGCTCAGAAAGCTCTGGTATTAAGCAGATGTCATTCAAGCCATGATTAACACATTACTGAATTTCTCCAGTCGTTTCATAAAGCGTTTTACATAACATGCAGGTAATTGCTTCCAAATGGCAAGGTAACAATGTGGGCTTCTATGGATGGCATTGTTTCCAGGATCAGGTGAAAACCCCTCTTGTTGCCTTGATATCAGGTGAAGTCCCACTGCGAAGACATCGCGCTCAGATGGCTGCATTTCCCATCCCTCCTCTGAGCGCCAGAGACAAGGAAACAGGCTGGGAAGAGTCAAAGCCTTCAGTGTGGGGATGGTTTCTGCCCTTCAGATGTCTGTATGGGCAGCAAACGGGCCTTGTGGTGCAAAACCGTGCCCCAGGTGTATGTCTTTGCTGTGATTTCTTCTTCTTTCTTTACTTCTCTTGCCTTTTCTGTCATCACTGCTGAGTGCAAAGAGGCGATGGAAAGATCAGGGTGAATGGGAAAGTCTGGGCTGCGGTGATGGGGTGCTGCTCATCACAGGATCCCTTGCCCTGAACCCAAGCCAACGCTCGGAATCTGAAATCATCCATCATAAGATCAGGGAAAGAGTCATCCCAACCAGTTTATTTACTGGGGAACTGCCCTGCCGTGCAGCTGCGGGTCTTTGCTTTGCACCGGTGCAGGATCTCACTTGTTGTTTCAGTGTCAGTGCAGGAGCGAGGTGTGAGAGTGATGGATGCTCGGGGACGAGGGAGCCCGACAGGCTGCAGACCCAGTGCAGGCTCAGAGGATTGCTGGCTAACGGCTTCCAAGGCTGCAAATGAACTTCCCAAATTATTAGAGCTGGAGAACAGGATCCCTTTAAAACAACCAATCTGTCATGAGACGTATCCTGTGTCTGTCAGAGGCCGGTGGGACTCCGTTGGGAGAATCCATAGCAAAAATCCAGGGAGAGCTGTAAAATATGCATGTTGATGTGGTCGTTTTGACATGACATTTCTCTTTAGGCAGCCTTAAGGGATTTTTGCTGCCACTGAGGTGGTGCCATCTCTGCCAACAGCATCTCTGCTGTGGCTCTCGGTGCTGCTGAGAAAGCAGGATTGTCCTGTGGTCTTGTGAATGGGGAGAAGATGTGTCCCATGTGCAGATGCTGTCAGTGCAGTGCTCTGAGGCAGACCACAGGCAGCCAAGAACCACAGTAACATGGTTGGGTTACTTCATCTCGCTGTACTCCAGTTCCTTGGCTGCAGAAGAGGGATTATAACAGCAGTGATCCTTCCCAGACACTCATGAGCTCAGGTCTGTGATGGCTGAGGATGCACAGGTAGGTTCACCACAGGGTTATCCTTGTGTGATATTAATAGTTGATGCCAGAGCCGAGACCCAGGTTCCATGTCAAGACCTTGGGCACATTTTGGGTGCTTGAATGTAGGTGCCTGGTGCCATTGAGGTGCTCTGCAGGACCTTACCTGGCCTCCAACTGCTCTTCCAGCAGGCTCAAGTGTCCCATAGAACCTGCAGCTCCATGGTTTGTCCTGAGACCCCAGAGCATCTCACATGGTACCATTTACTCAGGGCCCTGGATCCCACCCTTGCTTCTCTGGAGGGTGGGTTGCACTGATGGTGCCCACTGCCTTTGGGTCTCGTTGGTAGTCACCTTCATGCCATGGGCTGATGGGAGCCACCATTTGTGGCACCAGCTCTGGGGTTGACTGTGTTGGCTTTCCTGCACCTGGGAAGTTTGGGCCTGTTCCCAGCACCGCTGCCAGCATCAGCTGCAATGGACAGAATGATTTATGGACACATTATTAAACCCGTATTTTCAGCCTCAAAGCATGGGGGAACCAGTGGGTGGTACAGGAGGCAATGTGGCAACGTGCCCAGGGAGGATGGGGGTGCTCTCAGGCCACCTGGCTTCTCTATGGAGATGAACAGCAACAAGGTTGGGTAACGGGCTGGCCCAAACCGCCAGAGAGGAGACACTGGAGCAGGTCTAGCCTTGCTCAGGAGGAACGGGTTAGCTAGGAAACATCTCCTACCTCCTCCTGTGCTTAATGTCATTCATCAGCTGCTTCTGCTCTCCATCACTGTCAGGCACGGAGTTTCTGCATGTGGATGGGCTGCTCAGAGACAGGGGAGATGCTGATGCTCTCCAGGGTGAGGGAAGCAGATGGTGAAACCCAACCATGCACTTTCTGTGAAGCATAGCGTATCAGAACTGCCGACGTGCCCAACCTGCCGGTGGGTAGTTGGGTGCGCTCAGCATCCACAGGGCTCTTCTCCAATGAGCTCATCCCAGTTTCCAGGCAAACACGTGGGAAACATTCACAGGGCACCTGCTCCTGCGCCTTCACACCTGGAGACCTTCTGCCTTCACCTCTTTGAACGACTGGCTGCGCTCACTCATCACCTCTGGGACCTGGCCCTGCTCCTCTGCCCTGTTCATCACGCAGCACCAGATGGGTCCCTCCTGCCTGCTAGGCAGAGGAGAGCACTGTGTGATATCATGGCCACGCTGGCATGGTGTGCACCCTCCTGGTGCTGGGCACACTGAGACAACTTGTGAGCATGTAGAGGGGCAAGATCAGAGATGAAGGGAAACGTGGTCATGCACAGCCTGGGATGGCAGTGGGCAAGGTTGTTTGGAGGAAGAAGACATAAATCTGTGGCTCTTGGTTGCTGTGTGTCCTTATGGGACTGCTAGAGATATCGGGGATAATGGCTATCTGCTCTCCAGTGCTTTACAGCCCACCAGAACAAATCCCATTTCCCTGCCCTCCAGTCCAAAGTCCCTGAGGTCAGGGAAGTGAGGTGGCAGCGAACAGTCTGGCATGGCCCAGTGTGGGAGCCATGCTGGGAGGAGCAGGGTGATAGCTGGATAAAGCTCTTGGAGATGGCTGATTTACCTTGACATTGTTGGCCTTTTCTTATTGCTAACATCTGTGATAGGGCAAGAGGTGTGAGGGCATCTACCTGTGCATGGGCTGCAGCACGGAGGTGACCTCTCCATGAGCCAGCACCGAGCAGCTCAGCGAGAGCACCGCTGTGACTGCTGAAATGGCCTGGCAGGAGGGCTTTAAATTGCTCGATGTCTCTGTACTGAAAAGCAATACCTGCTGAGATGAAACCGTTTGGCCTCCTTCCCCCTGTCTCCAAGGCAAACATAGACAGTTCTATTCATACCCACAAGAAATACATATTTCAGCATTTGATTCTTTTGCTGCGTGCTTTGTTTTATCTAGCGCCATGGAGCTTGGATGTCTTTTTCATCTCATATTGTGCTTTGGATGCAACCTCTTTTATTCAGCCCTCTTGCTGCCTTCATAAAGAATAACAGCGGCAGTTGTTGTTTTTTCCCCTGGAGCATGGGCTGCTGTAAACCAAAGGGAATCTTCCTGCTGAAAGAAGGAGAGGGCAGGCAGGATGCTGCCGTATCCATTTCCACAGCAGAGCTGCAGCCCTCCAGGCCGGGCAGTTTGGCTTTCTCGAGCCTTCATGGAGAGCAACAAATTGTCCTATAAAGGTTCTTTTCTTGCATTTTATTTTTCTAAGGAGACAGGCCCAAGTTGAGAACTTGGGACTCAAATCTCCTGCTCCTTAAATGGACAACAAAGTCCATGATGGAAGCCATGACACTGAAATCTAATGGGGTCTTCAGGTTCTGCCTCTCTCCCTCCCTAAATCTGCATCTGAAGCATCCTTTTCCTGGCTGTGGAAAGCCCATTTTGTGGGCTCAGCTGATGCCCATCTCATGCAGCCTCTCAGCAACTGTCATAAGGGAGAAAACCTTGCAAGGACATTTCTGCTTCTGTTCCTTTTGAGGAGGGAACACGACTTGGCCAATGTCAGACTTGAAGGATGTGGTCCAGCCTCACCTCCATCTCCCCACAAAGGTAATTTGGGGTGAGGATGGGAACTGCTGCCCCCAGCCTCTTCCTCTCCACATCCCACTTGGAAGTCATGCTGTCGGTGCACCAAAGAGCCAAAGGTCCATGAGCCCTGTCCCAAGGCATCAGCTCTTGCTGTCTGTGGCTGTGCTGCTCACATCTGTGCTTCCCCCTGCTTATGCCATTAGTTCTGCAGCATCATGCAGGAACAAGTGCAGCCAGTTTCAGCTCCACAGGTCACCAGGTGCTGATAAATTGTTTTCCTGGAGATCCATCACTTCCCATTTGCTATGTGAAACACCTGGGCTGCCTGCATGGAATAGCTCTGCTGGATACCGAGGAGATGTTCCCATCCATGATCATGCTCGAGGCACTTCGGGAAACAGTAAGAAAATCAGGGCCCCACATTAAGAGAGGGAAAAGGCTGGGTGGCGAGACCTGGACATGCTCCTTTCCACTCCCTCTTCCCTTTCCTTCCTTCCTTCACAGGCCTTGCTCTGTTCCTGGACGTGGACAGTGTCCAGGGCAATGTGTGTTGGAGCTGTCTAAGATGCAACAAAGAACTTCCCTTAGGCCTGAATTATGCAGATCCTCCCATTTTAGTTATTTCCACCCTGGTTATAAATAATGTGCTAAGCAGAACTTTCTTCATCCGGAAACCTTTAGGAACTGGTTCCCAGTCATCCAGTTTGGATTATGTCCCAAACAGGTTGCTGCAAACCACACCATCCTTTCCCTATTGGGGTTATTGCCGTGGTGATTTCCAGTGACCATGAATGATGCTGGGAGCAGGAACATCTTGTGGCAATATGTTGCCCTTGAACCTTGAGTTGGGGATCGTGGGGTTTAAGGCATTTGAAAGCTGTGTCTGGAATCTGTGACTCGTGTAGTGCTCTGACATGAGAGAAGGGATGCTTTGAACCATGGTGGCTGTGGGAGTTCACCAGAGCAGCTCTGCTGGGACTCCTGGTATCTGCAAGGCAGCGTCCAACAACACCCTTCCCAGCTCTACGCTCTGGCCCTTCATGCCCAGGTAAATACATTAACCTTAGGTTTTCAAACAGATCAGCCTCTCTTTGTCTTGGACTGCCCAAAAGTGAGGCCAAGGCTGCCCTGACTCTTGTTTTCCCAGTTGCAAAGGGCCAGGTGAGGGATGGCCGGCCTCATCCCTGCTAATGGAGCCGCAAATCCAACCCTCTGGCAGGCAGGGCAGGATGGGCAGGGTTGGGAACAGCATCTCTTTGGCCACATGCGTCTCTTCAGCTGCACAGACCACCGAAGACAAATGAACTGGAGGAAGCATTTCCTCTTCCTAAGGCTCACACCCGGGAGGTTTCTGTTCACAGTGTAGGTCAAGAGTTGAAAAATGAAGAAGAAAGGAAAACAGATAGAAAGATCCATCTTCCCTTATAAAATCCCCAGGGCAGGGGGCATTTGGAAGTCATTTTTCACTGAGCTGAGAGCTGTTGCTGGCCCTTTAGGAGACATTATTCTCTTCTCAGACCTCATAGTTTAGGACATGGGGAAGTGTTTTCCCTCCGTCGTCTTGTGCGTTGGAAGGGGAGCGTTATCCTGGGTGCAGGACACGTTGCATTTTCCTTCACGTGGTTTGGGCTTTGGGCAAGGTGGAGCTCAGTGAAAGTTGCTCTGTTCTCTGTGCGTAAACACTTTAAATGCATCAGGGCTGAGATGCAAAAAGAAATGAGAGGCTTGGACTTGCTGGCATTAATGCACAGGTTAAGAGAGACAGCATTTAAGGGGAGAAAACCCATGCAAGAAGAGGAAGAACTCCAGCATGGCTAAAGGGAATCTAAAGAGAATTTCTTTCTGGAAGGAATTCAAGAAAACTATTTTCCTTCTGTGTTTCTGTCTCTCTTCTTCTGGCTTATAAAACCACCTTGGCTCGGGTACTCCATCAGCTGTGCCTTTTATTAGAAACCCCTGCTCCGGTTGTGCGGATTTCATGCTGTTACATGAAAGTAAAATTTTATGGCCAGAAGCTGAAATTGGGAAGGAAACTTTTTGTTGTTGTTGTTGTTGTCAAGGCCTGCATTTTGTTGGTAGTCCTGAGGGGTTATTTATTTGCGCTCTTTCTAAAGCTCGGCCAACTCCTCCGGGCTGTTGTGGGGATGCTCGTTCCAAACAGGTGCTAACGTAGGGGAGGCTGAGCCCTGCACAGAGCAAGGGGATGGGTGATGTCCCCCCTCTGGTGCTGTGGTCACCTGCAGCAAGCAGGGGTTTCATGGCTCTTTAGAATAGGAGAGCAAATGTTCCATTGCATGGGACACAGGTCCTGGGTGTCCAGATTGCAGTGGGCTTGTGATGGGAGCAAAGTAACTGTGCAGAAGCGTGAGTGAGCTATCAAAGTGACAGAGGGGAGACTGAGATGAGCTCTTAGGCAGAAGCTCTTCCCTGTGAGGGTGCTGAGGCGCTGGCACAGGGTGCCCAGAGAAGCTGTGGCTGCCCCATCCCTGGCAGTGCTCAAGGCCAGGTTGGACACAGGGGCTTGGAGCAAGCTGCTCTAGTGGGAGGTGGCAGGGGCTGGACTGGATGAGCTTTAAGCTCCCTTCCAACCCAAACCCTTCTATGATTCTGTTCTTTCCTCTCAGCCCACCCTGTAAATCCGAACCTGATGGATGATGGTTTGCTTTGAGCCCATATTCAACCCCAGCTGCTTGTTGGCTGGGTAGTGCCAGCACACCACAGCGTGCCAGGAGTGGAGCTGGGCGCCTGCCATGTCCCTGCTCCAGAGACACTCACCATGGTTGGGATGGGGGATGTAGGTCAAGCCCCATGGCCCCTCCGTTTCCTTCCAGCCCAAAAGTCTGTGCAACCTACTCCTGCCCTTGGAAGATTTACGGAGCAGCAGTAAGTATTTCACCAGCTCTTTATTAATAATGCAGCAATAAAAAAGGTGCAGCCTTTCTTTCCAAGGACTTGCAGAGCCCTTAATAATCCAAGGAGGGATTTGGCTCCCCTCAATAGATAGCCTACCGGTGGGCATGCTTTACAGCCCCTTTGTTGGAGCAGGGCTGTTCCCCCATCATCAAAGTGCGAACTGAGGCTCTGTGATGGGCTAGTCCATAAATCTCTCCCCTCTAATCCTTTCCTTTCTACTGTTCCCGATCTGGGGGAGGAGGGGATGGACTGGACTAGGCAGGCCAGAGCTTTAACCCTTTGTGCTTTTGGGGATCTTCTCCTTCGGAGCAGAAGAAGAGGGTGAGTGGAAGGGGGGTTGTTGCACAGCAGCTTTTTAGAAGCAGGGAGTTATATTCAGCAATTAAACCCCAAATGACAGTTTAAAGAGCTCCTCTGGAAGTTTAATAAGTCCACCACTGTATATAAGAAATAAATCTGGCTGCATTACAATCACTTCAAACTACTTAAGCAATAAATGCAGAACTCTGCTCTTATTCGAGCATTATATGGGTAACGTTGCTTCACTCCTCACTTGGTTTCCAGGGCTGGGATGCCAGAGGAGGACCCAGCTCAGCATTCGGAGCCAAATCAACGTTGTGAACATCACAGGTCTGTGGGAAGGGGTGATGCAGTGCTTCGGTTTGGGGCCACATTGAGTGTGAGGCCAACACTAAACACTTGTGGGCTTGGAAGAGGTGAAGAAGCCATCTGAGTCTAATGCCAGAATCTCCTGTTGCGCTGTGGGTGGTGATGTGTAAGGCTCCCAAAAGAGGTGTTGCATCCTGACTGCCTGAAGGCTGATCATCTTAGATGTGGAGGTGATGGGGGAGCTAGGTCAGACAGTGATCTTGACCTTCAGGTGTTTGTGCAGACACCTTCATCAAGGCCAGGTTTGATTGACTGGACTGGTGCTGTCATGCTGTGACACCGAACCATTTCTCGGTTGTGAGTGGGTTTCTACCCCCCCACTGGAGGTCAGGAACAGGTATGAGGTCCATCAGTGGTCACCCGAGGTTCATGCAGGGAATCTGGGAGCAGACCTTGAGTGTCATGCAATCTGCTACACCAGTTTCCAACCCCTCCTGGCCCCGTTGCCTTAAGTATGCCCAGTACGGGATACCTGTGTGCCAAAGAAAGATGGGGGCAAGGCCAGGGCAGGATCTGCTGGTCCCGTCCTCCTTCTTCCCCTCCAGCTGCCCCATCTCCATCTTTTAGGCACTGCAATGGTTGAAAAGTGAACTTTGGGTGTATTTTATCATGAAGGATCCCGGGCTTTTTAAGCCCAGCTTTATAAGCAGTGCTGAAAGGTCCTGCATCGGGCAGAGGTCTGCTTTTGAAATTGAACAAATTGTGGGTTTATGGCTCCCGTGGGGGGGGTTGTGCTGTAAATCTCCCAGCATTTATCACATCTGTTCTTTCCCAACCAGGCTACCAGCGTCCCGAGGAGGAGAGGGAGCAGGAGCTGACACTTCCTGACACTGGCTGCTCTCCCGGCCCCCGGGAGCTCCTCAGGAATGGTTTTAAAGTAATATTTATGGATGATCCTGGTGGATCGGGCCCTAAAAGGCACAGAGAAAGGGCTGTTGTTCATTACCATTTGGAAACTGTGCACCGAGGAGTTCCCTGCGGAGGGGCAAAAGAAATGGAGTGAAAGTGAAGCAGCTTTCAAGTTAATCCAGATCTTTTTGAGCATTGTTGTGTTGGTAAAACTCGGAACCTTATTTTTGATGAAGAAAAAAAGAATTGCATTTTTGGGGATGGTTTTCCTCAAAATGGTTTTCTTTCCACGATTCCATGCTGAGATGCCTTAGCAAAGATATTTGTTCTTACTGATATATGGATACGTGGTTGAGTTTTGGTCTTTGTTCATACACATCTCCATGCTAAAACAATCTGTCTGCTTCAGCTAATATATTAGGAATATATTAATATAGGAATATGTTAGTATAGGAATATAATAATGATATATTAATATAAGAATATAATCATATACAAATATAGGAATATAATAATATATTCATATAGGAATATAATACTATAGGAATAACTTCAGTTTGGTGGTTTTTCCTGAAGGTAACTTCCTTATTGCCACAAACCATTGAGTTTCCATTTGATAAAGCTCTTCTGAAAGCCTTGGACTCACAGTGATGTTCTCCAAGTTAAACTTCCCCATCTCAGTCAATAACAGACCTTTCACCAAGACCTAAAAAACCCCTCAGCAGTTACTCAGTATTAATTACAGGAGCTTTATGAACAGGAAGGCTGAGCACAGGCAGAGGGATGGTTTGGTTGAGCACAAATGGAATTGCATCCTGGGGTTTCACCTTTCAGAGCCTTTTCCTAAGGGCAACACCGGTGCCCTTTGAGTCAGTTGAAAGCCTCCTATAGGCTTCATTGATAAGACAAACTCCCTAGAGGCGAGCTAGGGCTTGTCCTTCAACACACTGATGTAAAATACCTTTGGAACAGATTTATTCAAATGAATGCATGGAGAAGATAAGGCCACACGTCCTTTGGGCTGCCTATTCCTTTCAGTGTAATGTCTTGAGGCTTATCTCGAGTGTGCCTGAGATTAGTATTACCCAGGGAGAGAGCAAATCAGGGTGTATTGGCAAAACAATGCACAGATCCCTCCAGGATCCCCTGGGTTTGAGCTTCCTGGGAATTTTGCTGTGATCACAGAATCACAGAATGGATAGGGTTGGAAGAGACCTCGACGTCCTGCTCCCAGAAGGGACCACCAGAATCCTGTGGTTCCCAGCACCTCCCCATGCAGAGATGGCATTTTCCCAGGATCTTTCTAGCCATGGTGATGGGTAGGTGAGCCCATGAACAAAGTCCTCCAGTGAAGAAGTGCTCCTGACTCAGCTCCTCTGCTCCACTCTGTGTGTACTTGGCACAAGGCAGGAGGTGAGGAGCTCAGCCCAGACAGCTCAAACCTGTCTCCCAAGTGCCTGCGATAGTGGGGCCCCAGAGAGGCATCAGGCACAAGGACGATGATGTTTTGCCTGACGTGCTGAGCTGCTCTACCCCATCCTCTTGGGATGGGACAAGGAGAGGGGCACAAAGCCACAATGACTTCACCAGCAGCGCAAGGATAGGATGGTGGCCAGATCCTTGTGAAACACCCTGCTGAGTGTGCTGGCCCACGGGCACGCTTCCCAGCTTCCTGGCTTCGAGTGTGCCCTTCCATCACTTGAGTCACTTATAACCCAGTACTGGGTTGTTACATAGGCATCAAAAAAGGAGCTTTTTCTTTGCTTTTCAATGACTTCATGAATGCAAGACACTGCCAATTATCTATCATTCATGGCATTTAAAACATCAACACCTCCCTCCCAAGTGAAAACGGAGTTAAAGGTCCCGTCCTTCCCTATGCCGCTTGCTCTCACCCTATCCATGGAGACTGGCCTTTTAGGAAATGGCCAAAGCAATTCTGCTTCCTCGCATGAGCTAATGTGGGACTGCGGCGTTGTGATCCTGCGCACAGCACGTGCAGTGGGACCTGGGGCAGAGACGGGGAGCCTGGTTTAGCTGTTCCTCAGGAACAGTTGTGTTTGTGGTGGTCTGTTCATGGTCTGTCCAGTCCGGAGGTATTCGACCCCAGAGTAGATGCTCGAACTCTTCACTCAGAACTCCCATGTGTTTCCAACATCTCTGTTAAAAAAGAAACCTCCATCTCTCCCCCTCGTTTCCTTTTCGCTGAGACTCTGCTTGGAGCTTGCATAAATCTTGCCCAAAAATAACACTGGCCGCTCTCCCAGCTGTGGGCGTCGTGACTCCTGCACAGGGAAGGGGAGGCTACGATCTCACTCGTTTAGTGGCAGATTTCGGCCAGCTCTGGCCCCCTTCCATCCTTGCTGGTACCCAATTTACAAGCTTTTCACTCTTCTCCTGGGCTCACCTCTGCCTCTCCAAGGCCCCGTCTCTGGCACTGCAGCCTGCGAAACGTGGCACAGACAAGCCTATAAAAGTGGCCAATAAACTCAGCGACTTCGCTTTCCTTTGCCGCAAGTGGCCACGGCCGCGCCGCTTCCTTTGGGATGACGTTAAAATGCAGCGGAGAGGATGAGGCTCAGATCCTGTTCTCTGTGCTTCCCAGCCCGTGGATGATTTTTCCACTGGTGTGAGAAGGGTTCTGAGGCAGCTTTTGACAAAGGGAAACAGTTATAGAGAGAGACAATTGCCATGGGTGCCGGCGGGCCCTAGGGTCCTTTCTCTGTTAACCAGCCCTTAGGGCAGTGGTGGCTAATCAAAGCTGGAGTGAAAACCAAGGGACTGATGCCCAAATGCTGCAAATGAGTCAAATTCTTATGATTTTAAGGGGTTTGACATCCACGCATCACCTGTGCTGACAGCTCCCTGCATGCTCCTGGGGAGAGGCATTGTAAGGAGGAGAAGGATAGCATGTGCTCGAGGAAATCCTTCCACCTTCTCTGTAGACATCGAGGGAGCTGGGCCCTAGCTGATCCATGGTGGATCTCTGAGACAAGGAGCTGGCTTGGCTCTCTGGTAGTGTGGGTTATCTTCCTATCCAAGTAGGGTAAATCAGCCGTAGCCTTCTGGGGTGGGGAAGTGCTGCTGCTGGCTGCAGCCCTGCTGAGGATGGGGGATGTCCTTTGAGGTCACCTAGGCTAAGTCACATAACCTCCAGGGCTGAGTCCCCACATGGGACTCCAGTTCAGGACACGGGGACCCCCTCTGACAGGGATGACTTGTGTTATGCCAGCAGAAAAACTGCTTTTCTCTCTTCCCTTTATGGCTGTTGATTCCCTGTGCTCATGGTGGGAAGCAGGGACCCTTCTTCCCATGTGGTACCCCAAAAAGCTCCTCTCGACCAGCCATTTGTCTTGCTGCAGACCTGGCCTTTGTGCACTGTATTCATTTAAGATGCTGTGAAGTGAGCGGGCTGGGGGATGCTGTCTAAAACTCATTCGGAGCCTTTGCTGGATAAATCCCCGTGGAATTTAATTTAAACGAGCTGACACCAGTATGAATCATGCCAGCATTACCAGCTCCTGAACGCTTCCTACCAACTGCCTGCAGGGCGCTTCCTTTTTAGTTAAGTGAAGGCTAAAAGCATCTAAAACTGTTTAAGATCTTGGTCTTAAAAGAACACGGGGTTTTTTTTTCCTCTCCTTTTCACTGTAGGAAGAAACAACATCTGCTATAAAAATCTGCTGGCCAGGGGCAGTGGGAGCGGATACCACTTATCATGGTTTGGCTATTGGAGGCAGCGGCTGGTTCCCAGCAGAAAGTGGGCCCCATGATCGCGGCGTATACCAAAGTGGTGTCTCATCTGTCTGCAAGCTGGACAGATTAGATGTGCGCAGAGAGGATGGAGAGCCAGGGAAAAAGAAAAGTAAGGACATAGGGAATTGGATGGGGAGGAGGAAGGAAATGAAAGAAAACCTTCCAGGAAAAGGAAGGAGACAACGGTGTGTTTACAAATACGTACCTGGGCTTAAGCGGAGTCTCCTAAGTGCTGCTGGGACACAAAGTGAGGCTGCTTTGCAATAAAGCAAAGTCCATGAGGTAGCGTGTCTTTAACTGAAGAGTGACATCTCTGAAGAGGCAGGAGAGCGGTCAGGAGTAAGTATGAAACATGTAAGATTGCAGAACTCAAAAGGATAAACATTATTTGATACCTTATTTATAGGGCACCACGGGGGAAAGGTAAAGGTTTCAGAAAAGAAAGAAGCACTTTAATTTTATCTGGAGATTTTCCAACAATAAAATCTAATCCATCATCCTCTCTGTGTGACTGCTCTTAATGAAAATTTAGAGGCTGTGACTGAAATTTAGAATTCACAGGGGATACTATTAGGAAGATGTCTAGCAGCTATGCAAAACCTGTTATATCATAGCCCCTGCCAAAGGCCGGGGAAGAGTGGAGTGTGAACCGGACAGCTTTTGATTTGGCGTGCCGAGGCTCCGCGGCGCTGAGCCTTCCTCTCCCGGGTGGCGCTGGGACCCAAAGCACCTTCTTCACCCTCCGTTAGTCCCGAGCCATAGATCTCCTCTAAAGCACTGCCTCGGGTTCTCACCCAGGTTTATTGATTATAATTAAGAGCTTTCCAAAGAGAAGAGATCAAAACGAGTTTCTGCACAGTGTTTTCTTCCAAGACCCTGCAGTGAGACAAAGGCTGTTGGACACCGCCATGGGGAGAACATCCCTGACTACCTGATGGGCTTGGCAAGGGGTGCTGCGCGCTGTCCTCAGCCACGTGCCTTGCTCCTGGACCAACACTCTGTGAGCACAAAGGTATTGCCAGTGCTTGGTGGGGTAATGGGTGTATTTTTGTGCTCATCGCTTGGATGGAGACTGATCAAATCCCTGTGCAGCCGCAGTTACTGCTGGTTAGCGAACCACCAAGCACATCAGCCCATGCCTGGTGCTGTGCAGAGCCAAGCAATGCCTTTCAGCTGACCTGAGGGAAAGACTGACCATCCCTCATCATTCCCAATCCTCTGCACTTTATTTTTAATCAAAGCTGATCACTAGACTGTTTCCAATACTTTTTAATGGGCAAAAAGGGTTTTGATTATAAAGACAATAATGTTCAATTATTGAAGGGCCTGGATGTACATCATGAATCAGTTTAATACCAAAGTCGCTGCCAATTATTCGACTGATTCAAAATGAGACTCCATCACAAAATGTTAAATCACGGGATAAATCTGTCCTGGGAAGGGCTTTAGTAATCAAAATGCTCTCAAAGCAGAAAAAGCTATTTTAAAAGCGGGGGGGGAGGAAAGGTTACAGCTTAAGCCAGACATTATATAGTAATGCCAGATGTTAAACAGTTGACTTAAATTATTGGCAACTATCAAATG